GGTTGGGCCTTGTTTATGAAGCCGCAGTGGAATAATCGGTACACGGCGCAGCTCCGCCAGGTCTGCTGCACTCTGTGATGGACTGAAGCGCTCACTGAATAAAAATAAATGAGTGAATATTACTCGCCAATACTCACAACACCGCGTAGTTACTGGGGTCAATCGCAATCGCGTTTTCCTGCCCGTTTCCTTCGCTCCCCAGATCAGATTATTTCAGTGCCGGTCGCTACCGCGGGCCCAGAGACCGGGTGGCCGTTTTGAAGTTTTTAAAGAAAATGGCGACCGAATTATTCAAGAAAGTCGAGCGATCAAGCGGCTCGAGCGATCGCGCTTTAGGCGGGAGGGACCGGGGATCGACTTCAAGTACACAGCGCGAGCGTCCCCTTCCCGCCCGCCGACCGACCGACCGCTCGAGCGCTCCTCCTCCGGGGTGCTGCCTCGCGGCCAGACCACGCGCCCGGACCTGAGCGGTGACGCAGTGGCGCCAACCTCGAGGACGGCGAGAGGACGCGCCGCCATCTTCGCCCCCACGCGGCTGTTTGGAACTGAGAGTCGCGAGATCCGGAATCCCGCTCTCGGGTCGGGTAAGAACCACGTGGCCTTCCGCGACACGAGTGGCACTATCTCCCACTCCGGAGGTAGGGGGGCGTGCGCTCATGGGCTCCACTCGCCTCTCACAGCGCTCAAGGTTCGTTTACCCAGACTTCCGGGAAAAGAGAACTCGCTCGGACGCAGATTTTAAAAACCCTGCTATGAGCGCTGTTCCGTCAACTGGCGCGCCTCCCACTTGCGTGGAAACAAAACTGAGAAGACCCGCTCTGAATGCCCAGGCAGGGCCTGTACGTGACGTGTGACGTGTGACCTCTGCGATAGAAGCCTGGCGAAAAGCAGCGAGTAAACCTGTTTGTGTTGTTGCTTTATACACGACTGTCTTTTTTCTCGGAGTACAATACGGTCAGATACACCCGTGGTGAGCAGGTGACTCCCTCCCGCCGCCCGGCCCCGGGTGCGAACCCAGCCTGCAGCCGTCCCTCCCCCGTCACTGACGGAGGTCGCCTCCGGACCTCACTGAGCTGCTTCAGCGCCTTGACAGTCTCCCACCTCTGGGTGGGGAGAAGAAACACACCCTGGTTCGGTTTGGGGAGCTGCAGCAACGAGGTTTTGGGGTCCCCAGGACCGGGCCTGGCACCAATGACCCCTCGGGCTCATTGCTCGCTGGCGTGACCCCTGCCTGACTCCGGTGTTATCATCATGGCCAGCAGCTCCATCACCCTGCAGCTCAGCTGGCAGCCCCCTGGAGCTCAGCAGTGTGAGCATGGTCAGTACCTGGAGGGGAGACTCCTGGGAAAGCTGAGGCTGCTGCTTTAGGGAGGGGAGTCCCCATTACCTGTAAAGCGCTTTGAGTGGAGTGTCCAGAAAAGCACTATATAAGTGTAAGCAATTGTTATTATTCTTATTATTAAGAGGTGTTAGTGGGACCAGTAGGGGACGCTCACCCTGCAGTCTGTGTGGATCCTAATGCCCCAGTATAGTAATGGGGACACTATACTGTAAAAAGGTGTCGTCCTTCGAATGAGACGTAAAACCGAGGTCATGATTCTCTGTGGTCATTAAAAATCCCAGGGTGTTTCTCGAAAAGAGTAGGGATGTAACCCCGGGGTCCTGGCCAAATTTCCCCCTGGACTTTACCAGTCATGGCCTCCTAATAATCCCCATCTCTGAACTGGCTTCATCACTCTGCTCTCCTCCCACTGAGAGCTGGTGTGTGGGGAGAGTACTGGTGCACTATGGCTGCTGTCGCATCATCCAGGTGGGGGCTGCACACTGGTGGCAATGGTGGGATTCTCCATTACTGTAAAGCGCTCTGAGTGGAGTGTCCAGAACAGCGCCATACAGGTGTGAGGATACTGTTATTATTTTTGTCACGATAGTCACCTGCTGTCTGCACAGCAACACTCCCCATACCTCCGTGGCCTGGAGAGCAACAGAGGACTCTACTCTCCTGCTCCTGGGGTGGCCAGTGTACCTGCAGGATTCCAGTCCAGCTGTGCTCTTAAGCGCCCCAGTCATTTCCTTACTGGCTTAATCAGACCAGTTTGTTAATTTCTCCCTACTCTTCGGATGCTGCTGGTCTAGGGCGCACCGGACCCCTGTCCGTGAACCTAGGCTGCGCCTGTGTCAATACATCACGTCACCGAGACTCCGAAACAGACGCGGAAGCGATCTGTCGCCTTCTTGTGGGAACCTTTTGCAAAAACATCTTGGTGTGTGTGCGTGTTGGAAGAGGGGCGGCTCGTTCAGAGAACAAAACAGAACAGCTGACTGGAAACACCACTGCACTCATTTTTTACGGTCGTCGCCTTGTGCAGTTTGTACACGGCCTTATGAGTATTTTTTTTTTTGCTGTTTTTTTTTTCTGCCATCGCCTATTGGGATCCGACACAACTTTTGGAGAAAGAGACGAGACCAGGGTTATGTCCTGGCGAAAACATGTCTCCCGGTCGCCATCGCTGTTCGGCGTCACATCACAATCAGCGAAATAAAAATCGATAATAAAGCGAATCGGAACCGTAGCTCCCCCGGTTATCGCGCTCCTGTCACTAACGCTCTCTGTCTCTCTCTGAAGTAGGACTGATTTTTTTTTCTCTGTATTTCTGTCCCAAAGTAAACCCGTCTGTAGCCCCACCTTAAAGCGTAAACACAAGCCTTAACTCTGATTCAAATCCAGCCAATCAGGAACTATAAACAACAGCCGGGGCCACGCCTTCTTATTAATGATTTCCCCTCTCTGCCAATCATTCCACGATCCGCCAATCAGCGAGCGGCTAGGCTCCATCCTGCGCCGACCCTTTCTTTGTGATGTTTTTAAGTTTGAGCCAATCAGCAGCGGCGTTTTCTCATTCCTTACAACCCGTTTGGTCATAGGAAGCGCCAGGGCCTCGGCTGGGGCTGTCCCCGTTTACGCCTGACTGAATCGTTTTATTATTTACTTCAGATCCTTCAAAGAAGTCAGTGCTACCCTTCCTCTTTCTTCTGGATGTCATGTTTATTTTATATGTAGTTCTGCAGCATTTCTTACATAAACTCATCTGTCAGAATTGAAGATTTGATGATTTACTAAAATCTTGATTTTTAGTAACCCAGAATTTAATAACTCAGTGTGTGTCTTTTCATATTTGAGATTTTGTGTGAGCATGTGTGTGATGGCACATCGGTGCCTGAGAAACAGAAAAGACAATCACCAGCTATCTGTAATTCCATCTCTCCAAGATAGACCTAAAACTCCCCCTAAACTCTACAGATGGAATAAAGGGAGCTCTAGGCCCTTGGAAAATTAGATTCTGTGTGACCAGGACTTACAAGAAGAAAGTACAATTTTAAAGAACGTGTCTTTCCTATTATTCTTTTTTATTTAATGAGCCCTCTTTAAAATGTTATACTTGCCCTGCTAGTTAAGACCTCTCTCCCCGATTTGCACTGCCCGTTCGGTAGCTGTTTCCTGAAGGAAGTCGGGGTATCAGCTTGTTCCACACTCCCGCCCCCCTTTGGGTAAGGCTTGGGCATCACTAGCTGAATGACAGGGTTAGTGGATAAGGACTCGGGACTCCTAACTACAGGGAGAGGGAGGGGGACACTGTCTATGATTAAGACCTAGAACCAGGAGGTGAACTAGAACCGTGTAGTGAAGGGACTGTCCTGCTGGAAGCAGGCTGTGTTCCTTCAGCGTTTTTTATTGGTCTGAGTGTAAACGGCTGGTGCAGAAGTAGACCAGGGTAGAGTCCCCAGCTCCTCACCCTCACTCAGCTCCTAATGATGCTCATCGTGGGCTCCTCCGGACATGTTCACAATAGACAGTGCTGCACACCGAATCAGGCATTGTTCAGTGTTACTGTGCAGCTACAGATGATCAGTCTTTACAGTATCTACAGGTCTGAGGATGATGAGTGTCAATGTGAGGTTACAGATGACCAGACTGAGAGTCTTTACAGTATCTTCAGGTCTGAGGATGATGAGTGTTAATGTGAAATTAGTTATAAAGGGAACAGACATTTGGAAGCTTTTTTTCCTTGACTAGGCTAACCTTTGTGGTTATGCAATACACACTGCCAGAATGAAGTAATTCACATCTCCCATGAAACAAATAATGTCTGATGTGAATCACCTGTTTCACGATTCAGTCAAAATAAGATCGAAAGCAATCAGTCAAAAGGAAATCAAAACAGTTACTACTGAAATGACCTGTGTGCTGTAATCTGCTCGCCACAGACTGGCAGGAGTGCGTCTGATTTTTGGTCAGGCGATCGCGCCGGGCCGCCCTGCCCTGCTCCGTGTGTTGCTCTGCCGGGTCCTGTATGGGAGCCCGTGCGGGGCTGTGCCGGAGACCCCGCGCTGCCTGCACCTCTATCGTCTCGGGTGAGTTTGTTACAATGTAGCAATTTCTCTATAAATCTGTATAACTCGAATAAAGCCGCAACATCTGCACACTGCAGGTGGATCGCAAACCCCGCTTTTACTGCCCGCAAAATGCCAAAAAAAACACGCACGGCTGGGCCGGAGGAGCGATTTTACAGCGAAATTCCCAAACATACCCCCCCCTCCCGGTCCAAGTGTATTCCAACATTAACTCAATATTTAGACGCAATTGCGTTTGAGGAATCACTAGATAGAAAGAAAATAACCAAATCATGTCTGCCTGGCACATAATATGTTTCAGGGATTCATCTGAGCAGTGCGTAGCTGCTTGCAATATGTTACTGTCAGATATCTTGTGTGTAAGGCTCGCTTTTCTACACATTTAGACTTCCAGCTCCAGACCTCAGCTCTGCCTGTCTCTCTGTACCTGCACGCAATAGATTCGCATTCGCTCGGCTGCAACGGCACGAGAAAAGGGGGTTGTGTTGAGAAGGAGGGGGAGGTGGGTGGGTGGAAAGAAGACTTTTTTTTTGTGTGTGCGAGGTGAACAGCCGCCAGTATCCGTCCGTCCACGGAGGCGAGAAAGAGCCGCCGCTTCGCCTTCGTCTTCCTCCCCGTCTCCCCCGCGCGAAAACAAACCCAAACAAACTTACTCGGGGCCGGCCAGGCGGCGGGAGGAGGAAGTTGGGCTCTCTGGGACGGGCCGTGCGCGTCCGCGGGTCTGTGCCGGAGCCCGGCCGCTGTGCCCCGGGCTCCCTGCGCCCTCCTCCCTCGGGGGGGTGGTGGTGGTGGGGGCCAGCGAGCTGGCGAAAGCCAGGGCCCCGTCCGCTTCCTCTCTGTCCGAGCGGGGTTGTCCTGGGCTGGTGTGCTGGTGTCCAGCGGCTGTCATGGGGCTGAGCGCCGAGTGTTTTCAGTGAGGGGGGGAGGGCAGTGTGGCTGAGGGCTTCTCTGCTGTCTCCGTCCTCGCCGCTCGGACGTGAAGTTGGTACTCCCTGCCCGCGGAGTGGATTTAATGGGTTAATGGCTTAATTGGTTTAACTCCATTGGAGCTGTGATTGTGATGAGCTGCCAGTTCGGCTGACCTGAGCTCTGCTGTTCTCGGGAAGTTTTGCTAGGTGGCATGTCGACCTGGGAGCCCAGATTCTGGGCTTTGGGGGTGGACTCTAGGACTGTATGGACCGGGGGAGCCGGAGTCTGGGCCGTACAGACTGGGGGGCCGCACTCTGGGGTGTATGGACAGGGACTTTGTATGGTGTCCTCTCCTGGTGTGGGAAGTCTGCAGGATGTCCAGCATATTTCTAGGTGTCCCCCAAGGGCGGTACATACTGTGGGACCACCTGTGTCCTGCGCGTTCGGATCAGGGCCTGGGAGAGCTGGATGGTGGCTCTCCAGGGCTGTGTGTGAAACACTCACGCTTCATGGAGACCAATTACTAACGACTAGTTACTGGGCTAACTGCTGGGGTTGCAGACAGATGCACCACAAGCACTTATTATATCTGCCAGTCGTAAACGAGAGGTGGCCACTGGGTCCAACCAGTTTGTTCGGATCTCATCCAGCTGTTTCTTGAGAGCAGCCAGGGCATCAGCATCATGGCTGGGCAGCTCGCTCCATGCTCCCACCACTCTTTGAGTAAAGAGGGATCTCTTGTTTTCGCTCATAAATGCACTTCTCTGTCATTTCCTGATTGGTCTGCTCGCTTTGCTGTTGGTCCTGAGGTCCCCGTCTTGCTAGGGTATCAGCAACTTTTCAGGATAGTTCCCATCATCCTCCTTCTCTGTGACGGCTAACGGGACGGAGCTCCTCTATTCTCTTTGTGACTTTCCTGTGAGGCTGGGAATTAACGTTGTTTCCCTCCTCTGGACGGAGGTCCGGAGCAAACGCTGCTCTCTCTAACATGGCGACCAAAACCTCAGTCCTGCCCAACACGCTTGAGAAAGTGACCCTACCTCCCTGGACCGGACTCCTGTGCCTCGTGTGCCCAAGTTGCCGGCCTTGTTGAAGAGCTGCAGGAGGACACCAGAGTTGTCACAGACAACACGTCTTCGAGCTCCCCCCCCCCCACTGGTATGTCTGACGTACCTTCTTACAAGCTGCAGGTGTGCTAAATAGTGCTCATTTGTCTGAGCTCTCTTCTAAAGAAGCGAAACGCTTGCTCGTCCCAGAGCCAGCAGCTGCGAAGAGCTCACGTCAATGGGCTCGTTGGGAGGCGGGGGGCTGGCCTCTGCGGGGGCTCTGTGGGGGGTCCTGCCCCTCCGGCGGGGGCGGAGGAGTGGGGCATCGCTCTCCCACGAGCGCAGTTTCGCCAGCAGCGCTTGAAGACCTCGGCAGGTGGGCAGGTGTTTGGGAGGCGAGGGGGTGCCAGTATGGATGCCCATTGTTCTGGCGTGCTTGCTTGGGTTGGGTTGGTTTCTCAGATGCCGTTGCGCGAGGGTGGGTGTTCAGGTCTGTTGAGGAGGGAAGGGATTATCTTCCCTAGGAGGCACAGATGTGTCTTCCAGATGTGGGATCCGCTGTGTTGCTGCTTGATCACATCCTGGACTTCCCGCTGGCAGGGAGCAACAGTGGGAAGCCCGGTTATGGGAAGAGCCCCATTCCCCATCTCCATCTCCCTCCAGGTGAATCAGTTTTGTAAGCTCCGTCCAGAAAGGTCCAGGATAGATCCAGCTGGGAAGCTCTTCACTAGTGTTCAGGTGGTCATCCGGCTGCGGGCCTCGCCGATCCCTCTCCCAAGGATGGATCTCCATTCGGAATAATTGTTTTTCGAGCTCTTCCGGCAGGGATTGTGGTGGGCAGTGTCTCGGGGCGAGTGAGAAGCGGAGCAGCCTTTCACAAGCACCTTCGTACTGGGAGCGCAGGTGTGGCTGCAGCTGGATTCTGTGTCCCTGAGAAAGTCTTAATAATAGTAATAATTAATAATTGCTTACACTTATATAGCGCTTTTCTGGACACTCCGCTCAAAGCACTTTACAGGTAATGGGGATCCCCCCCACCCCCACCAGTGTGTACCCCCACCTGGATGATGCGACAGCAGCCAGAGTGCGCCAGTCCTCTCCCTATACACCAGCTCTCAGTGGGAGGAGAGCAGAGTGATGAAGCCAGTTCACAGATGAGGGGTTATTAGGAGGCCATGACTGGTAAAGGCCAGGGGGAACTTTGGCCAGGACACCGGGGTTACACCCCTACTCTTTTCGAGAAACACCCTGGGATTTTTAATGACCACAGAGAGTCAGGACTTTGATTTTATGTCTCATCTGAAGGACGGCCCCTCTTTACAGTATAGTGTCCCCGTCACTATAGTGGGGCATTAGGACCCACATGGACCGCAGAGTGAGCGCCCCCTGCTGGCCCCACTAACACCTCTTTCAGCAGCAACCTTAGTTTTTCCCAGGAGGTCTCCCATCCAGGTACTGGCAAGGCTCACACCTGCTGAGCTCCAGTGGGTTGCCAGTTGCGAGTTCCAGAGTGATTTGGCTGCCGGCCAGGAGTCTTCGGGAGTTTCTCAGATCCATCACGCAGTGGTGCAGCAGTGGTCTCCAACAGAGCTGCAGCAGAGTTCCACTGGCTGTGGATGGGCAGCTGACGAGCTCCTTCTTTCCATTGGTCCCGATGTCCAGTCTGAACTCTAACAGCAGCCCTGGTCACAGCAGCAAGGGAGGGGGGTCCCCTCTGTGGCCCCACAGTTTAGCGAGTGTGCAGGCTGACTCCTGTGAGCCCCCAGTCTGGACCCATCCCGAGATCTCTGACTAGATCCAGATGGGCAACGTATGCGTCACGTTGGTGAAAATGACTTGTTACAAGTAATCCCTTTACAGCAACTAGTTACTCCTGTAGGGGATTACTATTTACAGTAAGAAGTCGGGGAAAATTGTTTTAACTTAGTGGCTATGTGCACACAGATCGCTGGAACTGATCACTTTTTAAAGCGATGAATGTCTGTTTAATGGAAGAGCACTGCTCCTGGGTGATTTGGACATGACGGAGGAAGTGCTGTGTTGGTTGTAAGCGACCTGCCCTGTGTTTGTAGTGCGGTCGAGGCTGTTGCATGGCCCGTGTTGCACAATGAGAGGCATGATGCGGTCGCTGGGACCCACAGCTCTTGCTGGTGTGAAGTGCCTCTCAGTGTGGGTGCAGCCTCCTCTCAAGTGGCTGTGGGGCCTGTATGAGCTGTCTGACCACGGCCGGGCTGCGCACGGTTCGGGTAGCGGTGATCCGTGGTTTCAGGCGGAAGCCGGGCTGCGCTCTGCATGGATCCGTACACGATCCCATTCCCGAGGGGACGAACGGAAAGACAGGGGGGGGGAGGGAGAGGGAGAGAAAGAGGGACCCTTTCGTTTTCAGGAGAGGGGGGGAACCGGGTTCGAGCCACGGGAGGGTTGTGGTAAAGAAAGTCACCCCAGTCCCGAGGACATTGTGATCGCTCCTGACTTCCCAGAATCCCACGCGGCCCTCTTCAACCCCGGCTCTGTGATCGACGTTTTGTCAGAGTCAGGAATTGTTGGCTGATGCAGCTCATGACCGAACAGCAGAAGTAAAAAGCCTCTGTAGAAGAAACGCACAATCCCGTGATCTGCGAAACGGATATATCCATGTACCAAGTAGCACTCGCAGAAGGGCAGATGAGCGACCTGATGCGCCTGTGCAGATGACTTTATTTTGGTGCTGAAACATCTGTTTTCAGCGAGTCAATTCAGAAACGCAGAATTTTTTTCCCACCGTATGGCTTTGGAAACTTTACACGCGGTCATATGCAAATACGAGGACGTGAAACATTCAAATCAAGCCCCCTCTTCTCGTGATCGTTACCCACAGCAGCCCTGTCCTCTGAAAACACCTGTGGCATGTGTCACACGACTGTGCCCGCTGGACACGCCCAGGTTGGCGACGGTCTTGATGCGCGGGGGGGCTTTGCTTTGGGACCGAATTGTTTTCTGGCAGACAGGCGTGTTTCCTGTCGCTGAGGGGGAGTCTCTCTGCTCCCGGGCAGGCGACGAGCTGTCGACAGGCACGCTGTGTGAGGACTGCTGCCTGCTCGGGGGATCGCACGCTCAGTCAGTACCCCATTTCCTTCACCTCCTTCTCGGGGTCCCCCTGCTGGTTTCGACCTGGGGGTTGTATTCTTGCCCCCGGGGGCGGATCGAAATGACCTGTAGGTGGCAGGCCGGCACGCCTTGTATTGTTTCGGAGGGCGGAACGGACGCGGTGTTTGGTCATGCCTGGAGAAGCCCGAGGGCGTCGTACGCAGTGACCTTGAGCCCCCTGGCGCTCGGCAGCGCAGACACTCGGGCCAGTGTACTTGGGGGGCTCGTCCACACACCTGCCTCTCTCACCCGCCCCCCCCACCCAGCAGGTTCGAAAGATCCCCAGTTGAGTTGAGTCATCAATATCCCAGACTAGTGACCGTTTTAACTGTGAGATCAGGTATCCTGGAGGTTCGGTGATCAGCCTGAATTAAAGAGCATCTGGGAGCGAATCCACAGACCCTTCTGTCCCAGAGGGCCAGAGTAACTTCCTCCTCAGCCGCTCCCTTTCCTTGGCAGACAGGCGAAGCAGGGTGGGCTGCCAGACTCTCTGGCCAGCGCCCCAGGGGTCCCTGCTCTGAGGTGAGCCAGCGCTGGGGCGCAGGTCTGCCCTCCCGGCGGCTGGAACCGGGAGGCCCACCCGTG